GCCCCCACGGCTGATAGGGGCGAGCATGTTTGGTGGGACAGGGATTCGAACCCGCGACCCGCAGATTACGAGTCGAGCTCCTTAACCACCGGGCCAGGAATTAGGGTAAGTAAAAATCAAAATGACTATTGTGACGTTGATAACACCCACTTCAGGCACTTCTCACTTAGTTAGATCCCATTTATTTTTAAAAGACGAAATGACGTAATTAAGATACGCGCCGCGCGAACCTCTGCTTAGGTTCGTTGAAGAATCATGTCTCGGAATTAAGAAAAACGTTTTCCCCGGTATAACCTTTGTTATTTTGAGATATAAAGTACCTCTTGTAAACGTTTTCTAGATGTTCAAACTGAATACTTTCCGATATCAGATTTTTATTTCATTTTATAGAATTATGAAAATGATACTGGCCACCATTATTTAGCTGCAATTTAAATTATTGTCGTTGTTTTTTTCCTGCACAGCATTATGTATATTAACAGCTTGAAATGCAAAATTTCCATGTTTTTTCGGTCAACAGCTGTCTAAACGTTCGCCCTTGTAAAAACAAAGTATGTTACTGCTCTGAAGCCAACGTTAGAAATAGTTGTGATGTCGATTAGTAACAAAACACATAATATAAGAACTGAAAATAATTTAGGGGATCTAATAATAGCCTAGATAGACGTCATTCACAATTGTAGCTTTATGCATTATTTTAGTTGAGTCACTAGTTTCTATTTGTCTAATGTACCATGGCAACACAGAAAACACGTGCAACTGCAATAATATCTATTTCACGTTAAACAGGGTATTGTCATTTGAGTTCACACGCAACAAGATGCCGCAACGTTAGTGCTATGCTTCAATCGAATAATTTTCAAATAAGAACCATTAAACCTTCCCTGTAAATCAACTGGTTAAGAAAAAATATTTTCGTTAAAATGTGAAACACTGCCCCTTATGTGAGATCCGTAAACTAAGAAAACAATCTATTTTAAAATTTGGAACATCGCCTATAACGTTAACTCATAATTGCTTGTTTATGGGCGAAAAAAGTTTATATAACAAAACGACTTTAGTAACCAACGTTTTTTTTTCTTTTTTTTTATACTGTGTTCAGAGACTAACAGAAGCGTACAGTTGCATCTCAGGCTGTCTTTGATTCACTGGTAAAATTTGGGATGTCTTGGAATATCGTACGTACCATGAGTCATTCTCATAATGCACCCACGGCTACAACTGGACGCGAATCCTGAACCGTCGGATCTAAAGTACGAGCATACTGACCATCTGGCCCTTATTTAATGAAGAAATTTCAGGGAAGTTCAACTCGCGAAATAATAACAGTAGTAACGGAGAGGATCGCTATTACTACTAACATTAAATATAGAAAAAAAGTCCATAAAACATCGCAATAACTTGACAAAAATATAGATTCATATGTCTATCTCACCATCCGTCTACCTATCGATGTGAACCATAGCCTATAATACTGTTTGGCAAATTTAATTGATCAATTATTATTATTATTTCTTGAAATGAGAAGAAAAAAAAAACATGAAATACAATAACAAATATAGTCCATTTATGCCTCTAAAAGTTTATCGGTTTGTAATTACAACTTTAATTAGATTTCCTACATAAAACAATTTTATGTATAACTCTTGGATTTCAAGCTGAATATTTTTCCAGCATATCGTAATAGTAATTTCACAAATGTTAAACTAAAATCATAGTTTTCTTTTGTTGTTGTTTTTTCGAGATATTATCGACTATTAATCCTTATAAATAGGGTAACGAGAAACAAAAAGAAAAACGAAGAAAGAAAAGGTGTACACACAAATTTGACGAAGTTTCCACTGGTTAGTTAGTTCCTTTGGATGTTATTTACTTAAAGTGACGTCCTATTCACCCCCCCCCCCCCAACGTACATTTTGCTCGTGAAAATGGCGAAATATGAGGATATACTTTGTTAACGTGTACAACAGAATAAAGCCGAAATCACCTGGCCAATTTAATTACATTTACCCACAATCACCGTGCAGCTGTTCTAAACTGCTGCTTTTATAAAAACACGGTACGCTTCCACTCTCCTTATGCTGCTCGTGAATTGGGAGAGTGCGTTATACAAGATGACCCAAAAGGTACCCCTCCCCCCTTCAGATAGAGATACACCTTTAAAACATCACAGGAGAGGAAGTACAAACTACTACAAGTTTCTCGTATGAGTTCATTATAATTTAGATGACATTAAATCGGCAACAAACTAAACAAAACTGATTTCTGTAATGAATGCTGAAGGTCACTAGAAAACATGTAGCGTTAGTAAAGACACAAGTGTATGTATGTATAAGACGTGCGAAGCACATTATACAGATGTTACTAAACTAAATAATTCATTCATTCATCTCAATTATACCAAAATGAATATTACAAAAATATTTTATATATTACTATAATAAACCAAGTATAAACACTAGCCACGTTACACACACATTATATAGTACTATATATATACTATAATATAATATAAGTACGTGTGTTGTGTCGTGTGTGTGTGTGTGTGTCGTAAGTTAG